TGCTCAACTTCGAGGTCGAATGGTTCCAAAGGCTTACCAGCAGATCTCAAGGTCATGCAATAATAAAAACCTATAAAAGAAAATAATAAACTATGTTAGACTAAATAATTATAAAGTGACACAAAGAACTTGTTATGGCTGGAAATTTCGTCAGTTGCCAATCCCCGGCAACGGTGCCAAAAACTTGATCGCTTGTGAATGTATATGATAAGGCAAGCTAATCTGTGCAAGTATACACAATCGATGGAAGTAATATAGTAGTGAGTGAGTATCGTCTCCACAGGGATTGGATTAGAAATATCTTTTCACCAAAACTAGAACTAATGCCACAAATTAATCCTACTAAGTATTAAAGCTAAGAACTAATATTAAGGAGCTAAGAATAATGATTCAATGATTTCAAACAAGTGTGGTCGAGACAAAGAAAATATGCAGACAGATAAAACAAAACAAAACAAGTATTGGATTAAATATAATGCAAACAACCTCACATATTCAGACGTGTCACAAAGCACTGATGCTAAACCATTGTCTAGGTAACAATTATTTTAAGCCCATAATGAATTATTATGACTCACTAAACTGCCCGACATGATTACTAGGTATTCTTAGATGGTTGCTATGGAAATACCTCTCTGCGTTAACTATAGACGTTGCCTTAACCTACTCTAGCCTTTATCCCTTTTAGTCGTTTGAAACTCACTCCTTATCTCTAAGGTAGACAAGTTAGAATTTCACCATCCCGGATTCATTCCTTTGCTCACGTTGATCTCTCTTAATTATCTCGAATTCAAGAATCACTTTCTAGACAAAAGGTTATCTCTCGATGCTCTTACAATGCCTAGACATGTTTTACCGAAACACCAGGCGATCTCTCGATGCTCTTACAGTGTTAAGGCAAAATATTTAAACTATGAGCAAAACAATCATAAGCAAACATAATTCATCATTCATAAACATAAAATATTGTTCAGGCAAAACAAAGTTTAACACCAAGTAAAGCATTCATGGTGTTGTCAAAGATCATCCAAGATTAATCCATTTAATATAACCCCAAATAAAATAAGAGTTTAAGAACAAAGGAAGAACGACTCCCAAAAATCAGGGGCTCTGTCGCGACAATCCTGATCAGCACCACGCCTGCCTTGGTGATCACCCTCTCTCGAGGCCTGATCACCGCTCTGCTATTGTCTGGCTATGGAGGGCACCAAGGAAGACTGGGGGGTAGATGGAGGGAAAGCACTGCAGTTGCTTGTTCACGCCTAAGGTAAAACTCTTCTTTCTTCTTCTTTTTCCTCTCTTTTTGCAGCTACGGATAGTAATTATAAGGAGAATCTCCTAGGGCTTTGCATGCTTTTGGAGCTTCCTTAATTAGCCGTTATTAATTTCCCAAAATTAAAAAGGAAAGGTGACTGGCGGTTGTTAGGATATTTAAGGCTTGCTTGCACGTGAAGCATGTCATCCAGCTGGCATGTGACATAGGTAGTTTCACCATATTTGCTTCAGACTTCTTTAGATAAATCTTGCATAGGCGAGATAAATCTGCTTCTCACGTTCTCATCTGCTCCATTGGCCTTTGTAACTTTTCATTGTCACGACTGAAATGTTCTTTCTCTCTAGAATTCCTGCTCAAACACAACTCAAACAACCCCTTCTCCTCAGCAGCATCAGTTAAGCCAAATAAATCTTGACTAGGCAAAACTTATCCACCACAACCTATATGTAACTAAATGCAACTAAAAATGCAGTGCATACTTTGTTTAGATGAGCAATAACTTAAGTGAAAATACTAGAATTTAAGTCTTTTTACGGAATTATCAACGACCAGAACTCTTCATCACGTATGAGTAGTGTCGTCCCCAACAACAAACCTTTCAAATTTTCAAAATCAAAAAAAGAGAATCGGACATAAACTTGTTGTCTTTTTTGTCTTTGCCCTATTCTTGTTAACACAAGAATTTGCAAAGAGGGGCAGTTATAGACACTTGTTTTTTTCCGGGTCTCGAAAAATATTATTATATTTATTATTATTATTATTATTATTATTGTAGTTTTATTTATTGCATATCATTTTGTAGGCTCGGAGCCCAAATTACGAACAAGCCACACAAAGGACCAATCACGAAGCCGAACATCAACACAACTGTTGATCCAGTACAAGCAAGACCCAAATTGCTAACCCAACCCAATTGAAGACCAGGCCTACCCGGATCTAACCCGAGGCCCAGTTCCAGAACCGTTTACAACCTGGTTTAAATTAGGGTTTTAAACCTAAAATATCATCTCAACAATAGCCACCGTCGTTTCCTGAAGATGATACATCCATCACCGGTGTGTGTGCCCACCATTTTGACTCCCAAATACGCGTGCACCCCACCCATAGCCTCCTCAGCCACGTGAGTCACCTCCATCATCATCAACGTACTCCGAACAATACCCAAAAGATCATCAAGTCAGAGAAAAATCAACAAGAATCCAAAACCCATTAGAATAATACCAATAAATCCCGTAAAATCAGGATTTTTACTAGAGAAATCAGAAAAAATTATAACATAGAAAAAACTAATAATAAAGAAAGAAGGGGGCAACCATTTTCAGGGAGAAGATTCGGTGAAAAAAAATAAAAGATCGAAGGAAAAATCTGAAAAGAAAATACATATGAGAATCTTACCTTTCTGTGCAGATCGAAGTTGTGATTTTCATCGAGGTGGAGGAGTCTTACCGAAGGTAAAAAATACCTTTGTTCATTTTAAGGTTTGTTTAGGGTGTTAAGGGCTTAAGGTTTGGTTTAGATCAAAGAATAGATGAGAAGAGGGTTTTAGGGATTCAGTTACCCCTCTATCGCCGTTGATTCACGGTGGTCGTGTTATTTGGGTCTTTTCCACAGTGGGGAAACAATGAGATAGAAGAGAGAGTTGAGAGCTTTTGTCTTTCTCTCCCCCTTGAAACAAAAATGAGGCAAATGGGAGTAAATAGTTGATTTAGGGTTCATTTTGTGATATTTATCTACTACGTGAAATGACGTCGTTTAACAAGGGGAGAGATTGGCGTGTTTTTTTGTTTGGGGTTAATAGCAGTGTAAGTCATTTACCTTTTGTAATATCAATTGTATCCTTTTATTTTTTGGGTTAATATCAGTATAAGTCCCTATTTTTTGTAATATTATCAGTATTGGTCACTTCTTAAAGGGTAAATAACATGTTTAGTCCTCATTATTTTGTAACATCACACACGTGTTTTCAAAGTTTGGGGGTAAATCACAGTTTTAATCATTTCTCATTTGTAATATCTCATTTTAATTATTAATGAATTTCTGTGTTATTTCATTTTAAGTTTCTATTTTGCATCGCTTACATTTAAGTCACTAGTATGTTTATTATGCAATATTTGTTAATATTCAAATTTGTTCCTATTTTTCTGATTTTTTTGTTTTAGTCACTATTTAATAAACACATTTTAAGGTTAATTATTATTTGCACCTTTGTGTTTCTATTTTGTTTCGCTTTAATCCTTAATATTATTTAGGGGTCGTTTGGTTCACGACATATGGGATTACCGGGGGAATGGAATCCTCATTCCCCTATTTGGTTGGACGGTAATCCTATTCTTCGATAATCTTTTATTACCAACAGTGGATTTTTTGGGGTATATTACCATGAATGTGATTACCCCCTTCCCTTAGGTATTGTTGGATTACCGGCGTTTTGGACTAAAATGCCCTTAAATTGTTTTTCAAAAATATTCTTCTTCTGTAGTTGAATAATAAAATTCTACGAATGTTAAATTACAAATTTATCCTTAAACTATTTAGATTTACAAAAAATCTATAATTAAAAATGTATATAAAGTTCAGGGTTAAAATAAAATTTTACCCTTTCATTAAACATATTTATCTTTTCAATTTTGTAAAAAAAATATATAAATTTTATGAATTTAAAACTTTTAAAGAAAATATATAAATTAATTAAGTAATATTATAGTAGAATTCAACTTGTTAAAAAAATAAATATATAATAAGGATAATTTGGTAAAATATACATTCCATTAATCTTTTATTCTTTTAACCAAACATTGTAATCTTACATTCCTGCTAAACCAACAAAACACAAAATACAACATTCCCAGTAATCCTATTCCCCAATAATCTTTTATTCCCACTGGTAATTTTATATTCCGTGAACCAAACACACCCTTATGGTTATTTTAGTTTCCAGCACCTGTATGTTTTAATTTATCTGATATTGGCTTTGGTTTATTGGTATTTATTGTTTAGTCTTTCAAGTTGTTGTTAGTGCTAAATTGGTCCCTGATTTATTTGCATTTTTTGTATGCTTTAACCTTGTTTCTTTAATAGCCATGGTTTTAATATACAAAAATAAAAAGAAATTTAAATGTGAGAAAAATCTACGAAGATATCTCCCAACTAAAGGGAATGTATCTTTTCGAGGATTTTTCGCATAAATATTTGTTTTATATTCCATAATTTTCTTTGTTTCACGTTTATTTATTTTAAGTATTTTTCACCGCTTTTCACTTTTATTTCATTTTATTTTATGTTATTTTATCTTTACGAAAAATTGCGAAATAATGTCTTTTGTGAGGGGAATCTATGGGAAAGTCTCCTAACTGTAAAGGAAGTGCTTTCCCGAAGGTTGTTCACACAAAAGATCATTCGTTATCCGAAAATTGACATTTTTTGAATAAAAATCAAATGAATAAAAGGATCGTAATTTAAATATATTGTCGAGTTTGTAATTCCCAATATTTAAACAAAATATAATCGTTTAGGTACCAAAATTTGGGCGTTGTGGGGTGTTAACCCTTTCCTACACGTAATCGACTCCCGAACTCTTAAAAACGAATCGTTGGTAAAACGTATATATTTTTTTTACGTTTAAGGTTTCTAACCTACCTAACTTAAAGGTTGGTGGCGACTCAAAAATCAAATTGTTATCCAAATTACATTTCATCACATTCCCCGAAATTAATTTTTAAGTCTAATGGATCCCCGGGAAGACGTTATGACAATATGGTTGTGTTCCGATGACCGAAGTCAATCAGACGTTTTGGTATTAATTCCTAAAGTAACTGATCCTCAACGCCTCTCTCAGTTTCGCCCGATTGCTTTGTGTAATGTCGTATACAAGATTATTTCCAAGGTTCTAGTTAATCGGCTACATATGGTGCTTGCTTCTTGTGTTGATGAAAATCAAGGTGCTTTTGTTTTCGGACGATTGATTTCGGATAATGTGATTTTAGCTCAGGATATCCATTCCATTCAGAATGGACAATCTAGATTGCCTAGGGGAGCAGCTCTAAGATTGAAATGGAAAAGGTTTACGATCGCGTTGAATGGTCGTTTCTCTGTGATATGCATTGTTTAGGCTTTGAAGATTCTTGGACAAGTCTTGTTATACATGTATTTCTTCTGTGACTTACCAAGTTTGGATAAATGGGAGCCTTTCGGATGTGATTCATCCTCAGCGGGGTCCGTTGTCCCCTTTCCTTTTGTGCTATGTGCTCAAGGTCTCTCATCTCTAATTCATGCTGAAACAAATGTTGGTAATCTCCGTGGAATCTGTATTTGCAGATCGGGGCCTTCTATAAGTCATTTATTTTATGCAGATTGCTTATTTTTTCTCCGCATTACTCCTTTCGAGTTCAGTCGTCTTCTTGCAGTTTTAGATACTTATGAAGCTGCTTCAGGTCAGAAAGTTAATTATGCTAAATCCACCGGTTATTTCAGCCCTTCAACATCGGAAGCGACCTCTGCTGAATTGAGTTCCATTCTTGGGGTTCAAGACGTTCAGGATCCGGGATCTAATCTTGGTATGCCATTGGTGATTGGTCGTAATAGAACTGCTGCTTTTAGTTTCCTCCGCGATAAAGTTTCGTCCCGTGTTCGAGGATGGACAAAAAACATATTGTTTATGGGGGGCGAGCAGTGTTTATTAAAACCGTGGGACAAGCGTTGCCTACATATGTGATGGGGTTTCTTACTTCAGGATGGTATTATCCGTGATATCACTTCTATTTTGCGCTAGTATTGGTGGACGGAAGATGCTTCGAATCGGGGTTGGCCATTAGTTGCTTGGGAGACAATTTATCAGCCAAAACGTTTTGGAGGGCTTGGATTCCGAGACCTTCATCTTTTCAATTTGGCTATGCTCGCAAAGCATTTGCGGAGGTGTCTTCATAATCCTGGAAGCTTGGTTGCGTGTTGAAGATACTAATTTTTTTTACTCATATTATTATTATTATTATTATTATTATTATTATTATTATTATTATTATTATTAATATATTATTTAAAATTACAAGCCCAAATGGAAGCCCAATTACAAACTTGATGGCCCAAACCAACGAGCCCATAACAAACCCTAACAGATTAGGGTTTTCTAATTCCTCAGCCGCCATCTTCAATTCCAGCCGTTGGATCTGGTTTGATCCAACGGTCCACAGTTTGCCAGAGGAAACCCTAGGGTATCAATACCCTAGGGACACGTCCCACCGCCGCCGCTGCTGCTTCCAGAAGACTTCACCGCCACACCAACGTTCCAGCCTCCACCACGTCTACCAAAGAGTCCAGAAGGCCGGCCGTAGCCGCACACGTCTCCCCCAAACGGTGAGTCACCACTGGGAGTCCGGTGACTCACCAAAGGGCATTCTTCGGACCGGTCTGAGACGAACACCGGTGATGGCTATAAAGCCATCACCCCATCTGCAAGCAAGAAAACAGAGAAGGAAGACAGAGAGAGAGATACAAAGAAACAGAAAAGAAAGAAAAAAAAGAAAAAGAAGAAGAAACTTACTGTTATCGGAGAACCCCAACCGCCACCGGATCTCGCCAGAACCTTCGAAACGCCGAAGGTATTTTTGTAGATTCGCTTCGATTCAGAGCTTTTTAAGGGAAGAGAATGAAAATAAAAATTTTCTGGCCACCGGATGTGGTGGCCGGCGGTGACAGTCACGGCGGCAGACGGTTGCCGTCCGGTGACCGGCTTCCCTCCGGTGAGGGAAGCTAGAGAGAGGGGAGAGCTTTGTTCATTCTCTCTCAGTTAGAGAGAGAATGAAAATTGAAAAATGAAAGAGATGGCCCGAAGGGCCGGCTGTCTTGGGCATTAAATAGCCCTTCCCAAACGACGTCGTTTTGGGGAGGGCTATTCGTGTAATTAAAGAATAGTTAAATCATTTCCGTAGCCATCTAAACTTATAAACTTTACATTTTAGTCACTAAATCGAGTTTATAATACTTTTAATTCAGATCTTTAATTTTAATTTCATTTATTTTAGTCCTTTATATTAAAATAATATATTTAGGATAAATAACAGATTTAATCCCTTAATTTTAATAAATAATATTTTAATCCCTAGTTTATATTTTATTTTATTTATTATAATATCCGAATTTTAGATAATTTTATTTTAGTCACTAAATTATTAAATAAGAAAATAGCATGTTTAATCCCTATAATTCTGATTAATTATGAATTAGGTTTTTCAATTTTAATTTCACTATATTTTAGTCATTTATTTAAGTTTTTTTTTGCTTTTAAATATATAGTTAGAATTGTATTTTTACTTGTTTATATTTAAATGTTGTTATATAATAAATAAATATTTATTTTAAATAAATTATTATTTTTAATATCGAAGAAAAGGACAGTCTTAATACAACTGGATGTCCTATTCTGATATTTTAAAATCAAAAATTAAACAATATTATTTAAATTAATATTTATCAATATCAAAGAAAAGGACTGTCTTAAGGCACCTAGAAGTTCTTTTCTGATATTTTTAAATAAATAAATATTTTTTATATAATTTTGAAATAATAAGATTATAAATTAAATATATTTTTGAATTTTTAAATTTTAATAATAAGAGACAATTTATAATTAAAAAGTACCAATTTTGGGCGTTGTAGGGGTGCTAATCCTTCCCTAAACGTAATCGACCACGAATTTTTTTTTTTTTAAAAAAAGAACGAATTTTTGGTTATAAACGCAGATCAGTTCATTTTTTAATTGATGTTTTCTTAAAACTCTTTTAAAAAATAATTTTTAGGTATTCGACCTACCTGACCCAAAAGGCCGATGGCGACTCCCAAATTATTTTTCAAAACCATTTATTCACATTATTTTTTCAACCAAGTAAAAAATTCGTGCCCGGGGGAAAACCGGTTACGACAGCTTGGCGACTCCGCTGGGGACTGGTCAAACTTTTAAAAATCAATTATAAATTGTCTCTATTAATTAAAAATTAAAAATTTATATATTTAATTTTTTCTTTCTTTTCAAAATTTTTATATTTATTTATTATTTTCATAATATTTATATGTTTTATTTGCAAGTATTTTATTTCATTATCTATTTTTCTGTCGAAGGTTTGAACATTTCTCCTCACACACAACACTTGCATTGCATTACATAAAGCTCTATAATTGAGTTGTCCCTTTTTAAGTGGGAGTGAAAGCGACGTCTTCGTGAGAATTTATTCTCCGTGTCAGACCTAGCAAGTAACTTTCGGGGTTCATATGCTCTATGTCTTCATGAGAATTTATTCTCCGTGTCAGATATAGAGAAATGTATCCCCTCGAATTGAACTCGATCCACTTTAGTCTGTGATGGACTAGGATTGAGGGTTAGTAACCCAAGGGGGCACTAACAAGGACAATTCGGGTACCTTGATTCTTAGATCTGAAACCCTGCATATAAATAACCTTAGAAATTCTTCCGATCAGAAGTCATGCCGAAATTTTGTCCAAAATAGGTGTACACACAGGAGAAATGAATTCTGACTTTCCTGTTAATTTATTTATTAATTAAATTACATGTTTATTTAAATTATTTAAATTTAGAAAAGCATGTTTAAATAAAGAATATTTATGTAAATGTTATTATTAAATTTTTTTTTATATGTAAACTAATTTATTTTCTTTTTGTATGTTCTTTATTTTTCTGTTTGCATTGCATCATACAGGATAAAAGACATTGATCCTTGTGTTAATTGTCTCATTGGAAAGCCTTCATCTATGGATAAAAAGTGTTCAAATCAAGTAATTCTAAACTCAGAAGTAAGACAGTGGGCTGAGGAATTACAAAGACGAGAAGGAGACAGCCTGCAGGATGATTATGTATCTGACTTGGCCAGTTATGCTCCAGTTTCACTAAAAAGAAATGATATGCAAGATTTACGAAGCATTTGGGAAAGTTGGGATTCAAACAAAAAATTGCAGTTTTATCAGACTTACGGAGACATCCCATATTTGCTATATGTTGAAGTTGATGATGAATTACTCAGAGCCCTAATTCAATTCTGGAATCCAGGGTACAATTGCTTCACTCTCAATAAAGAGGACTTGGTCCCTACTATTGAAGAATACACAACATTGCTACATATTGAAGGGGTGTTGGAGAATCGAATCTATTCAAAGTCAATTAAAACTCAACCTTTTCGAGTTAAATTAGCAAAGATTGCCGGGGTACGAGAAGAATGGGTAGCAGCCCGTACAAAACAAAAAGGCGAAAGCGAAGGCATTGCTTGGACCAACATTAAAGAACTTATTCAGAGCCATCCAGACTCTAAAGTACGATTAGATTTATTTGCTCTGGGTATATATGGTATGGTCATCTTCCCAAAAGTATTGGGATATGTTGAAGCTGCAGTGGTAGATTTGTTTGAACAGCTACCGAAAAAGATTAATCCTGCTTCTGCAATTCTAGCAGAGACCTTCAGATCGTTAAATGCTTGTAGAAAGTTAGGAGGTGGACGATTCTCAGGGTGTACCCAGTTGTTATATGTTTGGATCCGTAGCCATTTCTGGAGGACAGAAAAGATTTCATACCGACGCTTTAATACGGATTACTCACCATTAAAAGAATTTCTGGAGCAGGAATGGCCGAAAGAAATTAAGAAAGATATGTGGATTAATGCCTTTCGAAATCTGCAAAGCAATGACGTTGTTTGGCGAGCCCCGTGGCAAATCCAAAGGGAATTCTTTTACAAATGTGGAGATTACAACTGGATAATGCTACTCGGATTATGGGGAGGAATTGGATATGCACCACTTCTGGTTATAAGACAATATGAAGGTCGTCAATTTGTACCTGTCACTGCTGGATTACAGTCATCTGAGTTCGCATTCCACAGCAAAAATTATAAAAGAAATATCATGGAAGCCGTTACAGCTTGGAAAACAACTTTTTGTATCCGAGCTAAAGCAGCAAAAGAAATGTTAACTCCTGATTATGAAGAATGGAGATCTGTCAGAAAAAACGAAAATATTCCTCTACCAGATCAAAATGAGGATATCTCTATGGAAGATCGCATTAAGGTGGTTCCATCAGAGATTGAAATCTTGAGAGCTGAGTTTGAAGGAGAAAGAGAAGGCTGGTCGAAAGAGTTAGAGCAAATGAGATAAGATAAAGCTATGTTGGGGGTTGACATTGACTTTCATTCATCACAATGTGCAATGTTGAGAAAAGATAAAGAAAAAGGTGAGGATGAGTACAGAGCATTACAGAAAAATTACCAGGAGTTATATAAATCCCGGAAAGCATCAGGATCCAGCTAATCAACGGTACAGAAGACCCGAGATTTGAACATTGAGAAAAGATGAGTTGAAGATTTGAAAGGAAAGAATAGCCGTCTACTCAAAAGCCTGGAGAAAGGAAAGGAAAAAATAGAAGATTTTGAGGTCGACAGAAGAGAGCGAATTATAAAACATAAGGCTGAGCATCGCGAGATCATGAATGAAATGCAAAGAGAAAGAGATCGAGTCAAAGATGTAGAAGAAATGAAGAATGACATCTTTAATAAATTTGAAG